TATTTGGTTATGTAGTATGCTAGTTGTTATGTGATACATGTTGTGGTCGGGTTGAAACACACACCAGGGTGGGGCCCAATATGGTATAAGAGGTTGAAATATACCCCAGGGTAGGGCCCACCGTGATATATTTGGGTTAAAATATACCCCAAGGTGAGTCCCCATGGTAGGGGCCCATACTTGTTTTGCATTGGAATGAACCCCGGGGCTGGGCCCATTTGTATGATTGGTATGTGTTATTTCGGGAAAACTCATTAAGCATGAGCTTACAAGTTGTATTGTGATTTCAGGTACTTCCGGTTCTAAGGGCAAGGGTCCGAATTGATGATTTTATATGATGATGATTATGTATTGGATTTTTGGTATCCAACTTATGATTGTAAACCTTAATTAAAAATGAAAAATTTTATTTGGTTTTTGGTCTGTTGCATAACAATTTCATAAGAATCGAGTAAAAGGTTTACTTGAATATAATCTCTATCGATAATATGAAGCATTTCGTCGAGCAGGTGGTTGGTGAATATTGAAATAGAAATTTTGATAAAATACAACATCCATAATGTAATTTATGTATAATAATATCACACTAAGATATAATTGAAATCAAAATTTAAAAAAGAAATGGTTGCATGGGGTAAATCATCAAACAAACCACAATAATTGATTATAATAAAAACGAATCCTCCATTAACATAGGGGATGACGAACCTAACTTGGAGTAGGATAGAGAAAGAAGATGAACATACAATTGAATAAGGGTGAACATATTAACCAAAAAATCAAATCATAACCAAATTAACTGAACCATTTTAACCGAACCATTAATAAAAGATATGGTTTAGTTTTTAATTTTCATTAACCGAATACATATGGTTCGATTATGGTTTTCATCAAAAACCGAATCATTATAAACAGAACCGAACCATTTATATTAATAATGTTTTTAGAATAATATAATAATAAATATATGGTATGCAATTATATTGGGAATTGAAAATTTTAAGGGTAATTATCAGTGGCGAATCTAGAATCGAAAACACGTGGTTCCTAATTTAAGTGAAACCGAAAAAATGAAAGGGTAAAAAATATTAATTGTAAGGTGGGTCGTATAAATAAAAAAAATTAAACATAACTTCAACAATTATATTAATTTTCTTACAATTATATCATATGTGTCTTGTATCTTGAAATATATTCATTGTATCATTATCGACACTTTCCAAAACATATTTTTTTCAATAACTTTCGAGTTAACCATGTTAATTGTAACTAAGAACAACATTGATTTCAAAATAGTCACTAATCGTAACTAGCAAACATAACATTAATTTTATATCCACAATATTTTTCGGTAGTAGTATAATGGTTTAATATGCTACTATTTAATACTTATAATGCATAATCAAATTCATAGGATAAGTAATTAAGTAATATATTGTTTTGTGATTACTTTCAGTTTTGATGGATGAGTTGGGGCAGCGGTTCTGAAAGCTAAATAATGAGAATATCAATTTAGAACTTTAGAACTAACATACGTTTTATTATCAATCAAATATTCTCAAATCTCGACTAATTATATAAACTTGGAAATAGGCAAATGTCACAAACTTATGAGTTGTGGGGTGGAGATAGGTTCTTTAAAATTTATATGGTAGTTCTTTTTTTTTTTTAAGTATAATTTATAATATAAGTTGCAAAATAAGGTATGTCCTAGGGCCCACCTTAGCACTATGTACATACACCCCTAATAATTGTTTGGAGTTAGATAGTTAAAGTATTATTCTATTAATACAATTATATATACACAACTATTCACTTTTTATAACGATAGATTGTATTTTTAAATTTTTATAGAAATATTTTTATTTTTGTATCATCTTTGACCATTTTGGTTATCCGATATAAACCATAAACCATAACCATTAACCAACTAAAACCATTAATCAAAATCAATATTAACCGCTACCCAATGATTATCGAAATACATTAACCAATTGTAATGGTTATGGTTCGGCTTTGACCAATAACCGAACCAAACCGCCTCATTTACACCCTTGCAATTGAATCTATAAAAATGTATGAGATCATAGGACACATCTCTTGGTAAAGACGAATTTTTCAGATGGAGGAAACACAAAAATAATCACCGGATGGTCGAAAAGCTTACCAGTAATGATGATGACTTGTTGATTTGAAAATCCTGATAAAGAAGGAAGAATCTTGAAAGCAATAGTAGAATTAGGATTTTGTTCATCAAATTTGAAACATAAACACAGTATGAGATTGATAGGGAGGAAGGAAGCTTCAACAACTCGGGTTGCAGGATTATGACACTTTCGTGTGTGTGTCAATGAGAAGAACAGATTGAGGGAGTGCTAATGAGAAAGAACATGACTAAATTAGGGCACTTCTGTTTTATTCATTTTATTTTTGGTGAGTTTTAATTATATTTATTAGGTTTCCTAATTTTAAATCTTTTATTTTTGGTGAGTTTTAATTGTCTTTATTAGGTTTCTTAATTTTAAACCTAAGATACATTTTATAAAATTCGTGAAAAAAAAATAAAAAGCTTTTAGCAAAATGATCAAAGTGTGCAAAATCTAAGAAAAAAAATGTAATCAATAAGTCTGATTGTTGAAAATAACACAATGAGATTTATATTCTAATATATATATATATATATATATATATATATATATATATATATATATATATATATATAGAGAGAGAGAGAGAGAGAGAGAGAGAGAGAGAGAGGGGTTCAAAAGTGGATTGACATCTATTATGTGGATTGTGGATAATGCTATTCTGTGAGAGTTACAAAGATATATATATATATATATATATATATATATATATATATATATATATATATATATATATATACAGAGAGAGAGAGAGAGAGGTTTAAAAGTGGATTGACATCTATTGTGTGGACATGTGGATAATGCTATTCTGTGAGAGTTACAAACAAAATATGTTGTTTGATAATATGAATACATTCAATCTTATATAATTGTTTTAATTATTAAGTATTTTCACTAATTAAATCGTCTATAAGGTTATTATAGATTTTTTTAATTATTGTTATTCTATCAAAATGTTATCAGGATGTTTATTGAGTCGTATTCTGTAAGAATTAAAATAAATAAAAACTATAAATGAGAAAAAAATGAATTAGAATTGTTGATAATTCATTAAAATAACAATAGTTCTGTGAGATTGAACGTATTCATATTACTAAACAACATATTCTCTTAGTAATTTTCATAAAATAATATTATCGACACGTCCACACAATAATTGTCCATCCACATTATATATATATATATATATATATATATATATATATATATATATATATATATATATATATATATATATATATATATATATATATATAAAGAGAGATCAAATAAACTAAAACTCATTTTGTTGATTTATATACCCATATAATAAGGTTTTACATTCAAAGAAACTCTTAAAAATGTTACTTTTATTGATTTTAGTGGTAAAACAATAAAAAAAAGTTTAATTTATATAGTTTATAAAATTTATAATAGAAAATGCTTAAAATATTATTTTTAGGGGAAAATACAAATCTAGCTAAAATCCTTAATTACTTATCAAAAATAGCCAAAAAAAAAAAAAAAAAAAAAAACAAAAAAAACAAAAAAACACTTAGCCAAAAATAACCCACAAAAGAGTAGTCAAGTGTAGGTTGACTACTGTTTCGCCAAATTGTCTACTGTTTCGTGTTTTCTATATATATATATATATATATATATATATATATATATATATATATATATATATATATATATATATATATATATATATATATATATATTCATTTTTAGGATACAAAACCATAGGTTTTCTAAAACCTATGGTTTCCTCTCAAAACCTATGTTTTTTTTTTTTTTTTTTTTTTAGTTAAAACCCCCCAAAACAGTACATTTAAAAAAAAAACCGTATTTTTCCACCCAAAACTGTAGCTACGGTTTGGGAAATCGTATGTTTCGAGAGAAACCGTAGGTTTTAAAAAACCTACGGTTTTGTATCCTAAAAATGAAATTTTTTTTATAAAAAACACGAAACAGTAGACGATCTGGCGAAACAGTAGACGAATATCGAAACCTACGGTTTTGTGGGCTATATTTGGACATTTACTAATTTTTGGCCATAAATTGCTAATGACTTTCTTAATTTGGCTAGATTAGTAGTTGTCCCTTATTTTTATTGGTTTAATAATTAAAATAAAAAATAGATGGAACAAAGACAAAATTGCAAAAATGGTCCTTGTAGTTGGCAAAATTCTGCAGTTTTGGTCCAAAACGAAATGTTGGTACACCACTGGTCCGAAATTGGATTTTTCTATTGTTTTTGGTCCCTGTCAACATAAAAGACTATTATACCCTTATATTTGTTTTTATTTTTTTATAATTAATCAAATGTTTTTCATTAATTAAAATTGAGAAATCTCTCTCTCTCTCTCTCTCTCTCTCTCTCTCTCTCTCTCTCTCTCTCTCTCTCTCTCTCTCTCTCTCTCTCTCTCTCTCTCTCCAAATGGTTCCAAACTCTCTTTTGCGATTCCCTTCCTCTTTTCCTCACCAAAAACCCATCAAAACTAATACCATCATCACCTTTGACGTTCACCTTCATCGTCCCGTCACCATTGGAATCCAATTCCACATTGCTCACCAAGAAAAACAAAAGTTTTTTTTTTTTTTTTTTTTTTTTTTTTTTTTTTTTTTTTAAATCAAGAACAACATCAACATACTCTAAACCTTCGATTGTTGTTATAAGATACAAATACTTAAAGAAAGAGAAAAGGGCCAAGTATATATCAATGAGCTCCTTCATCGTCTTCATATCCCCTTATTCTTCAATTTCATCATCATTAACTTCATTTCGCACAAACACCTCATCAGAAACCCCAATTTCATCGTTCGATTCCGGAGTCTCTTGGTGAATGACAATCACCAAATCAAATTCGAATGGGAGAAAATTTCCTTAATGGATCGATTCCAAAAGGGCTTTTCATTTTGCCTCATCTATCACAGGTTGAGCTTCAGAACAATCTTCTATCTAGTGAATTCCCAGTGATAGATTATGTTTCAACGAATCTCGATCAATTTTCTGGTGTGTAGAAGCTTTTACTCGATGGTAACAAGTTTACCGATAACATTCCCGACGAAATAGGCAAACTACAACAACTATCCAAGATCGATTTCAGCCACAACAGTTTATCCGACAAAATCGCTCCTAAAATCATCCAATGTAAACTTTTAACATATGTCGATCTCAGCCGTAACCAACTCTTCGACGAAATCCCAAAAGAAATCACAGGCATGCACATTCTAAATTACTTAAACGTCTCTCATAATCATCTCATCAGAAGCATTCCAACATCTGCAACGTCAATACAAAGCTTAACATTCGTTGATTTCTCCTACAACAACCTCTCTAGTCTTGTCCCCGGCACCGATCAGTTCAGTTACTTCAATTACACTTCATTTTTAGCTAATGTCGATCTCTGTGGACCATATTTAGGAGAGGGTGGTGTTGGGTAAGGGTTTGATAGGAGTGTAGATAGCCGGAAACTAGGATGACGATCTTAGGTTTCCAAATCCAAGAACTGTTTCATAGTGGGTTAACGAGAGAGAGAGAGAGAGAGAGAGAGAGAGAGAGAGAGAGAGAGAGAGAGAATGTTTATTAATAATTATACATTAAATTAAATACACAAAATATAAAAAATGTATCAGAAAGACATATTCATCATTTCATGTTGGGTCTGGACTAACACACAAAAATGTTAACTAAAGGGATCAAAACCACACAAGATCTAAAATTGGACTATTGGTGAACCAACATTTCGTTTTGAACCAAAACTACAAAATTTTACCAACCATAGGGATCATTTTTGCAACTTTGTCATGGAACAAACATAAATCTTCGTTAAAGTTTGATGACATTAACTCAAAACTGAAAGCTAAGGGGCCAAAAATGTTGGTTAATTTAGTCTAGGACTATACTTGTAACTCACTCTGATAACCACCACCCCTTGTGGCAATGAACAGATGAAAAGAGTAATTCACAGTCGTCTCAAGAGGAAGGAAGAGAAGTCTAGCAACGTCGCCAAATCAACTCGCCGGAGTTCCGCCGCAGGTAATATGATATTGTGATGAAGTTCTATTTTAAATAATTGTTTGGATTTGTGTTTTAAAACAACTTACAGCTTCTTGAGATAAAATGATTTTCATAACCTAATACCCTCTCGTTCTCATCTTTCACCGACCACCATTTTCTCTATTCTCCCCTCTCATTCTCTTATTCTTCTTCTTCTCCATCGATCTTAACCACCATTGACCATCAGCTCTTTCTCCTCCTCTCTTCCTCTTTTCGTAACCAGTCCGCTGCTTCTCCATCGGTCATCACCACCATCTTCATCACTTGCGATTGCTCATTGGCTCAAACCTACTGAAGGTTCGATTCATTTTTTCCTTGCCCTAGTTTGTTTCGACAAGAATTTAATAGCTTAAATAGAGAAAACTTGAACGGAATTAGGTTCGAAATAGGGGAATTCGTTTACTGGAATGGTGCTCTCAATTTGACTTCTTTTTCTTCAAAAATTTTAATCAAATGTTAAAGTGACTGGATTTTGAATGACGAGATCCCTGTCCCTGTCTGATAACATCTTGATGGAATTTGTGATACGACTCTATACCGCTTTTTATCACCTTCATTGTTTGATTTTGTATAATCTGATTCAAAATATGCTATTTGACGGGTTACAAGTATACGTTTTTTAATGAAGATTGTGGGGTAATTGCTTCAGGGGTGATTTGGGTTCATTTTTTAGTGTGACTTGGTTCTTCTTTTTGGTTGTGGATTTGATCATGTTTTCCTGTGTAATGGCATGAACTCTGGGCTAGTTTTTTGGTTAAAAGAGGTTAATACTTGCAGATCATGATTGGATGAAATATCTTATGGAAAACCCTTTATTTCTAAAAGAAAAACTACATTATGGTATTTGTTGATGCATTTCTTTCGACTGTGGATGTGATTTTAATGAACTTTACATTCAAGAAAACAGTGGATACAATGCAATGCTTCAAACCTTTTCATTTTAATGAAACAATGAACTACATTCAAGAAAAACAAGTGTGGTTCTAAAAGTAAAAACTGCATTATATTTTGTTTGATTCAAACTTAATTTATCCAAAGTTAACATCTTGAAATTGTTGATGCAGAAGTAAAAAAGCAATGTCATTTACAAAAGGCGACTTGCTTACAAAAACAAGAAAGCTAGTAAATGGTTTGGCCAAAGTGAAGCCTGTTTGGCTCAAGGCTATGGAAAAGTATGTATCCTATTGAATTCTTCACATCTTTAAATTAAATATTTCTGATTTTGTAAAATGAATTTTGTAGGTCTCCACCTGCAGTGTTTCCACGTGCTGAAAAGAAAGTGGAACGAATCTGCCTCCCTGAGGATGTTTATGTGAATAAGTTCTATAAGAAGCATCCTGAATCATTGCATGAAGATCCCATCAAGTACTTATTTCATCATATTTCTTGCATTTATTTATTCCTTTTGATCTTCATGACAATTAATAAAATTTTGATGTTATGGAAAAAAGGATCCGTGATTTTGACCCGACCCCATCTCGTATATTTGGTTGTCGGGTGCTTGAGTTAAAGGAAGAAGGTGTAACTGAAGAGGATGCTATAGATGTAGCTGATGTAAGTAATTATCTAAAATTTTAAATCATTGTTTCAATTTCAAACAAATATAGCAATAAATAAACAAACTCTAGTAGCTTTAGCTGTTTAGCAACCCCTGAGCTGGCCCACACTGTTCGACTAGAGGGGCACAGTTGTTTAAGACGTGTATTATTATTATTTTTTACAGACGGAGTATAAGCTACAAAAGAAGGCGAAAAAGAAGGCGTATAAACGATTGAAAGAAATTGCAAAAATTAGAGGGACGAAATTGCCCCCGAATCCATATCCAAGTGCTGTGAAGGAGATACAAGCTGAGGAAAAGAAATATGTTCATGACCGTTTTTTCAATCCAAGAATCTTGGAGATTGTTGACAAGCTTAAGGAACAGCAGGCGGCTGACATGCTGGATAGAGGCAGGCCAGCTGGCACCTATTAATGATTACTCCATGCTTTTAAAAAAAATTTAAACTTGTTTTATGCATAATTGAGGTGTAATAAAACACTATAATTGGTTCAAGTTGTTTTGTTTTGACTTGATCTGGATAGAATGAGTTATTTGACCTCAAATGGTCATTTAGTTTCATTGAGATGGTTTTCATTCAATCTAGAAAAGAATACAAGATTTTATATATGAGAGCTATCATTACTCGTTTACTCACTTTATCCATGTATGACTTAATGGTAAAAAACAAGTCTCTTAGTTCTAGAATGAACTAAGAATCTCTGATCTTTGGCATCTTTCCATGTTATGTAGAATGCTTTATTTGTGGAGTTGTTTTTCTAAGCTATAAATTGCTAACAGCTATAAGGCGATAGTGCTCTAAACCAAATAAGAAAGTGAATGTTTTAGTCAAAAAGGCTTGATAGTTGATACCTTTCTTGAAGGGTAATCACTAGGTTTTTTTTTTTTTACATTCCTTCTTCTATGGCTTTACTATCCATAGGTGTATTACCTAATTCCTTTTGCTTTTACATGATACTTGATTATGTGTTTGGTGACAAGGGATACCTTTCATATTGATACATAGATATCTGATTTATTTTAAACAAATCAAACCATTTGATCATGGTTTAGAAGAAATTTAAATATAGCATACCAAAAAAGTACATTAATTCTGATATCAAGTTCTTCATTTAAATGTGACTCATTGGATGCTCTTAATCGTGTTGCATTTAAGTGATGTTTTGATCACTCCTTATCTTCGCTTTTTTGGACATTATAACCACAAGTAAAATTAAAATATTAAAAAAAGCATACAATGCTAATGCTTTATATTAGTCTAAAGAAAGACCAATTGATTCTAAAATTTAAAGAAGTGTTAAAAATATACATATAAATCGTAACAAGATATATCTTTGCTTGAGATTTGCTTTAGCTTACTTTATATTTTCATTTAAGATTCAAGATTTCGTTCTCATGTCTTTTGTTCTTTTGTTCTCCGTCTATAAATATCAAACCATAGGATAGGATAAAAAACTAGAAGGAAAAGAAAAGAAGAATGCAAAACCATACACGTGTCATCGTTTTATTGGCATACAGTCTGCCAACTACTCATTCAATATGATCTTTTCATATTTTCTCACAAACACTCGTCTCTCCATGGAACTCACTGCCACAACCACCACCATTAACAGCCTCCTATTTCCCACCACTCCAAGATCAAGAAACCCAATCAACACATCTTTCAAAAGATCAAATCTTTCCGATCTTTACACTGCCTGTTCATCTTTCCTCAATCCCCAGATCATTCTCTCATCAAACCCTAGAAATCCCCATCAAAATCCAGTATTTCTAACCCACTGTTCCACAAAACCAACAATTTCAGATGACAAAGACAACGTAATCGAAGATCAAGATTCAATAATTTCATCTGATTCTAATCTCAATATCCAAAACCTACAAAAACCCACTTCAAATCAAGAAAATTCCACCTCAAACACTTCGGTTTCCAGAGGGTTGGTTCTCGATTTGGGTTTAGAGAGTTCTTGGGATAGTTTTCAAATTGGTTCTCCTGTAGTAAAGAGGTTCCTGAGCGATGAAGAAGAGAGGTGGTACATGTGGTATCATGGAAGATCCGGAGGGAATTTGGATACGCCTTCAATCGGGTTAGCGGTTTCAAGCAATGGGATCCACTGGGAAAGAGGCAAAGGAGCTGTTCAATCTGGTAGCGATGTGGGCTTAGTCTTGAAATCGAGTACTGATTGGTGGGCTTTTGATACAAACGGTGTTATGCCAGGTGAATCAATGGTCATGTCTAGCTCCAAGATTCGAGCAAGCAATGCTGTCTATTGGCTGTATTATACTGGTTTTAGTAACGAAAAGATTGAATTCCTAGACAATCCTCTCGAATTCAGCTTAGAAAACCCTGAAAATGGTGGCAAAACATTTGGGAAGATTTGCAGGTCATTACCTGGTTTAGCAATGAGTCAAGACGGTAGACATTGGGCAAGGATTGAAGGAGAACACCATAGTGGAGCTTTATTCGATTTAGGATCCGAAGGGGAATGGGATTCCATGTTTATCGCATCCCCACGAGTTGTTTTCCATTCCAGTGGTGATCTTAGGATGTATTACCACTCGTTCGATTCCGAAAAGGGCCATTTTGGAATCGGAATGGCAAGATCACGCGATGGAATGAGGTGGGTGAAGCTCGGGAAGATCATGGGGGGAGGGCAAGTTGGTAATTTTGATGAGTGTGGGGTCATGAATCCTTGTGTTGTGAAGAACAAGAAAGATGGGGGTTATTTGATGGTGTATGAAGGGGTCGGTGTTGATGGGAGGAGGTCAATTGGGTTGGCTAGGTCTTCTGATGGGCTAAAGGATTGGAGGAGAGTTGGTGGTGAGCCCATTTTGGAGCATGCCGAAGGGTGTTGGGATGATGGAGGTGTTGGGTCACCTTATCTTGTTCATATGGAAGGCGAAGAAGATGAATGGAGATTGTACTATAAAGGAATAGGGAGAATCGGGCACACCGGAATCGGAATGGCGGTTTCCGATGGCAAAGATGTCAAGAATTTTCGAAGATGGACCGGGTTTCATCTATAGAATTTACCCTAATTCGGTTCTATTAGCTTCGGTATGTAAATCCACGATACATAATTATTTGTTTGTAATTATATGGTTCATGGTTATATACTACTTCCATACGTGCTCTTTATGTTGTGTTTGTTACACGGGATTAGACAAGGACATTCATGTCTTTTGTCTTAGATTAGAGATCAAGGGTGATTACGTTTCTTATCGTGTTTAATTTTTTTAAGTTCAGTTCATGCCAAACACAATACAAGATCTTTTGTCATGTTATGTGTAATGAACGTGGATTCGTTTCAAAGAAATTGTTGGTGGATAATGCAATCACTAACGCGACTTCAAGCGATAACAAAGAAAACCGAACGCAAAGTTCAAGGAATTCGTATTCTTCTCAAATCATTTGTATTAATTGTTTTTCAATGTATCATAATTGAACATAAAAATATGGATTCTTAATATTTCATACACAAATTAGTCAAGGAAAAACATAGAAAAAATCGCAATCGTTTTTAAACTCAAATCAAAGTGAGTGCTTCCTTTGTTGCGATAATGCTATGGCGGCAAGCAAGATTAATAGTATAAACACAACTATCCCGCCAAACGATCCAATTAGTGATCCCGATGCCCGTTGACAGAAGTCATTAAACTGTTGACAGACTGGCAGCCAGTTTGCAGAGTTGTTACCATTATGAGCCAAATACACAATTGATGTTGCCGTAGATGCTCCGGCCGTTAAAAGAGCCAACATCACCTTCAAAACCATGTTATTTTGCAACTTTAATATCAATAAAAAAAACACATCTACATTTATCACATTCAAAACCCGAGTTATTTATATAATTTCTTACCGTGTCAAGAATTACCAAAAGAATTCTACTGCCTCTTGCCGCACTCCTCATGACGTGAACGATGGACAACGGAATTGTGAGGACAAAATAGGCACATACTATTGCATTCACAATCACAAACAACCTATTTTGTAAAATACCAAATCAATAACGGTTTTAGAAATGCTAATGACATAATTGGTAATCAACTTTATCATTTATCCGACAATCCGACGTATGTCACTAAAGATACTTAAACTCGTTATTTTTTGTTATAAAAAATACCCATGTGACATACAAATGTTCATGTGGGGGTGTTAAAATTCGTTTATATTGAGAATTATGTATGGGTTTGCAAGACATTTGTCGTGTCTCAAAATTTGTTTGTGCAAAATGCAAAGTGTATTTGATATTTGTCATTTGTGTTGGATGTAGACAAACTTACCTGAAAGATGGAAAATCATCATATTGAGCATTGAAACGAACAAAACGTGTGAAAAAGGGTAAAGTTTGTTCTGTGGTTCCCATGGCAATGGAACTAGCTAACGTACCCACGACACCAACAATGCGTAGAACAAGGTCCATTGCAGAAATCCCTTTGTTTGACCTAGCTCGGGTTGAGACCTTAGATGTAGCTCCTCCTACTTCGAGTTGCTCGGCTTTCATCATCTTGTATTATGAATTTTCAATTAGAAGATAAGATGACTCTAAGAGTTTGTATTTGAAGTTGCTCAAGAAATTAGGGGATTTATACAAATCAAGATAGTTGAGTTAGTATTGTATGTAAGGTTTTGGTTGTGTTTCTTAAGAACTTTAAAAAAAAGTCTTGGACTCTTACCCACTCAAATATTGAAGAAATTGTCAATTTGTCAACATCCAACTCCATTATATGGTCTATTTTTGGTAGTTGTTGCTTGGGATCCAAAAATAACATTATGCCTTTTCAGGTGTTGATTAAAGAAATGCATATATAGATTCAAAATAAGGATATGCTTCTTTAATGATTTTATGTTTATTTATACGTAAATACATATACACACATTTATGTTTATTTATGCGTAGATGCGCAATGGATCTATAACCCCTCCCAATAACCCTAATCAAAATCTTTATACCGCATATTATACTAAAAAAGAAGATAATTTCTGCCTAGTTTGACAAATTAACTTTAATCTTAGATTGAATGAAATATAATATATATATTTTTTTTCATTTTAAAGAAAGTGCCTTATTTTAATATGAAATATAATTAATGTTTTGTTATTTTGTCAGATATAAACGTAACTATTAAGTGGTTTGCATTATCAAAACAATGTAACTTTATTTTGAACGCCTGCCTTTTAAACGATATATTTTAAAATTATTTATAAAAATGACCATATTAAGTGGAGGTGTATCTCCAACCAACTACTATAATTTTTTAGATTGTAACAAAATAGGTAGCTAAAAAGTATTCACAGGTTCTTGAACTTGAACTAGAACGAGTGAAGAGTAATGAATTAGGGTCTTGATAGATGAGTATAATATATTAATAGAATAGAGATATATAAAATGACTAAAATGCCTTCATATGAGGGGAACGGAGTTAGCCAAAAAAATTTAATCATGATTGATTTTAAAACCACTCACAAGACCATCTATGTAACTTATACGATAAAAATCAAGATTATTATTAGAAAAAACGATTAACCATCTAAAATTCTCAGTAACTATTAAAGTGCACTAACTTTATTCTTTTGTCCCGTTGATATTTGTTAAATTAAGATTTTTTAGAACGCTGTTAAATAAATCTAGATGACATTGCTTTAAGACTTTAGGAATTAGGTGTGTCCACAAAATCCTCCTATTGGAGCAGAATGATGATTCTTTGATTCTTTCGTCTTTTGGCAGGTAGTCAAATTATACCTGTATAATATATTAATATATATGCTCAAAAAACATTTATAAATTATGCCAATAAATTGCTTGCAGTTTTAAAATTATTGTGTTTTCTATCAGTAAATATTAAAAATTATACATACACAAAATGGTTTTAAAAAATTTAGGAGATGAACAGTAACGATGGTTTTGAAACACGTCTTATATTTAAACCAAAACAAGATACCTAATTAAATGCTTTTTTGATAATTATTAATTAACGAAACTTCTATATTTTTTAAGTAATTAATGTTAATTAAAAGTAAAAAATTAAAAAAATTCTGGTCCTTGTAAATGGAACGCAACAGCCTCTGAATTACGCAGAACACTCTGCCGGATTCTCTCCCTTTTTCTTCCCAACACAAATCTTGATTTCCCTTCGCAACTTCCTTGCTGATTATCGCCTCAGGTAAAATTTCTACTCTTCTTCTTCATCTTCAAATCTATGATACTCTTTAAGATTTCCTGAACTGAGTATTAGTTATTAATTAAAATTCATTTTGATGTTTGATTAATATTAGCTCTTGAGTTGTATTACTTGCGTTCTGTAATGCATGTATCTTATAGAATCCATGGATTTATGTTCTGTAAAACTTTGCTAATGATACACATTGATTCCATTTTGAGTGTGTTCTTCCTTGATGCTTACAAATTACAATCGTGAGGTGGGAGGATCGCCTATTGAATTTAGACCAGTTAAATTTCACAAAAAATGTTTAGAATTTGGGATTTTTATACGCTTTCACTGTGTGGGAATTTGATTGTATGAACATACGCTACTCAAAATTTACGCAAATCTTGCCATTTATGGGATATGACTGAAGTTTTAACTTAAAGTAATTGATTAAGCATTCAATTTTGCTGTTGAATTTGTGTTCTATAACTAAATCCTAAGGCTCATAGATTGATATGATCAATAGGGTATGCAAATTCAGTTTGGGTTCTTCATTTTTCTTGAAGTTCATGAAATGCATCCCAGTTCCTATGCGTTAAATTATGTGATTTTTGTTACAAAAACCACAATTTTGGACCCAAGATATTGTTTATTGCTTTTCTTTTTATTTTTGAGAAAAGATAACATGTATGCTTTCATTCATTTGAGATTATGATAAAATAAAGAAGGTTATTGATATATGGGACTAAATGTTTTTCCATGAAAAGTTTGAAAAACTGTAGCATTATGAAAATCTTGAAAATTATCCCACTCTTGTGTTATTGGCAGGTTTTTCTGTAAATACGTGCAAAATGTCTGAAACAAATGAGGGTTCTAAAGACCTTAATCTTGTGGATAATGATCCAAAAGTTGAAGTAAACAATGACTCATCTTCACAAGAAATCCCAAAGGATTTAGAAAAAACAGAGGACAATCCCATGCCCACACCAGCCCAAGAGGTACTTCCTTTCTTTTTTACATATCATCCTAATTTACTTATTTGCCCTTCATCATCACTATTACAAGGGATTTGTGATACAAGTTCGGATCCTCAAGATATTTGTATTCTGTCATAAGTTAAAGGCTATTTAACACATTTAGTTAAAAGTCTTTACTCTATCTTTATATCATCTTTAAACAGGAAGCAGTAATCAAGAAAAAATATGGTGGATTACTACCAAGAAAAACCCCTTTAATCTCAAAGGTAATTCAATTTCCATTCCTTTTTTTTTTTTTTTCTTTTCTCTAATTATGGAAGAAGAATTACTAACAACTAATTTGTTCCATTCAGGATCATGATCGTGCTTTCTTTGATTCTGCAGATTGGGCACTAGGAAAGGTACTTAAAATGATTTAAAAATAAATAAATAAATAACTCTTGATCTATTTTAATAAAAGTTTTGATGCTTCATATTATTGTTGTCCTTTTTACAACACCTAATAACAGGGGTCACAAAAGAGCAAAGGACCTTTAGAGGCACTACGCCCAAAATTGCAGGTACTTATATATATATATATATATATATATATATATATATATATATATATATTATTCACTTGATGTTTTCTTTCAGCCTACGCCACATCAGCAAGTTCGTTCAAGACGATCATCCTATGCTCCTGCAGATGAAGGAGAAGGTGTGTTTTACAAAAAAAAAAAAATTCATTACTAAATATTTGATAATTGTAATGAGTGATAATTGAGAGGGGCATTTTTGTCTTTATAAAGTCTATAAAACCTTTCTCTCTCTCTCTCTTCTGGTTACAGTAGATGATGGTAGCTTAAATCAAACTGCTTCAGAGGATCAAGGGCAAGAATTGGAATTAAGTATGGATGACAAATCTCATTCTGAAGATCAAAACCATATGATCTGATTTTTTTTTTTTTTTTTTGAAGTTTTGAAGGACCAAAAATCATCACTGGTATCAATAACATTTGCATGAATTTTGCAGCTATTGTTTCATAATCAAGAAACACATACATGTCTCATGATATTATACCCTCTGTTGTATGATGGGAAAAATAAACTTATGTTACTTGTTTACTTGTATTATTCCCTCAATTGATGTTGTATCTGTGTTATCTTTTTGATGTTATGCAACAAAATGGATCAAAACATTAATTATATATATATTTCATCATCCAATGATCATGTGGTCATAGCCTTGGGATAATTTGATTGTTGTTTGTCATAGGGTTTTCACCCTTTTTTGGGTGCTATAAGTTTATCATCTTAATAAATTGTTCAGAAGATTTGATTTTGGTTCATAAAGAAGTCACCTATTTTGTACAATTGAAAAAGATTTTAGATGGTAAACTGATACTTAGATAATTATATAGAGCCATGTACAAAAGTACTTAACTCACATTATGGAGGAAAATAAAGTATGATAAGCTTGTTTTGTACAATCTAGAAAGAGCAACTTATTAAATGTTTGTTGTGTCAAAAAATTAAGATAAGGATAGGATTGTTAAGGATGGTATGAAAGTAAAAGAAATATGTGTATGGGAGATGTTGCAAAATGCCAACACCATCCACACCCATCAACACCATCCATCTCTACCAACAAACACCATCTTCTATCACCACCATTAGCCACTACAATCACCCATTTCCACCATTTATCACCACCTTTGCCAAGAAACTAATATAAAATCTTTGAACAAAGGTGGCTATTGGTGGTTTTAACAAAAGTAGCAGGAGAGAGATAAGAGCAAAGAAATGATTGAGCGGCAACAGAAGTAAGAGGTTGGGGGTGTTTTCATCGGAGAGGAGAAATGAGAGATTTTTTTTTTTTTTTTTTTTTTGAGTTGTGTTGGCCGGTAAAGATGGCCAAAAAATTAATGATGTCTGAAAATGATTAAATATATACAAAAGTTAGTTTAATAGTAAATTAGGTAGATATATATTGGTTGGTTTAATAATATTTCTTAAACAATTAATATGAGTTTAATGATGTTTTTTAAACAAATAAACCAATTAGACCAACATGCAATAATCGATCAAAATGATAGTAGTGGCCTACTGGGTAACAAACATGAGTTTAATGATAAATTATGAGAAATTAAATATTCTCTTACTTTTTCATCCTACTTATGTGAAATGATGACAAGTATAATATTTTGGTAAAAATAATAATATTTTAAAATATTTTCATCATTTTATATGGATAAAAAGATAAATATAAAGAAAAGTAATAGGATATATAATTTCTCATGGTATATAAAAAATAAGAAAGTGATTTGTTTTACATATCAACTTAAAAAAATAATGAAATTCAATTGAAAAATATTACATCTAACAGTCGAAATGTAGATGTCATTTCATCTCTAATCTACAATTCTAGTTGCATCAATAAAATTGCGGTACTTGTTTTTAGGTTTTCAAAATATATGTTTTCTAAACTTCAAGCTATCAAATGTCACTTTTTGTTTCATTTTAATACAATTTAAGCTTCAAAAAAAAATCTTTAACCATAAAAATAATATATTGTTTTAAAGTCGAAAAAATTATTTTGTTATTTATCAAATTTACATTATATTATTTAAATCCAGTAGTAGCAAGATTCAAGAATAAGGTTTAGCCATGTTTCTTGGAATCTCTTCTTCGTTCCTTTCTTCTCCTCTCATCCAAACTTCACACACGTCCACGCCCTTCCATCATCTCAACATCAAATTGAATTTGAATCTTTCGCGCCGTAATTCTACCCCCAGATCGACCCAAAACATTACGAATTCGCCATCGACATCATCATGTAGCAGTAGCAGTAGCAGCAGCAGCAGCAGGAACAAGATTTGCTTATGTGGGAGAAGGCCATTTTTAGCAACAATCTCCACAGCTCTTATCCCAATTCGCGATTCCAATGGCTTCGATTCGCTTGCTGATGATCCCATGGTACCTAACTTTGATTTTAATGTTCGCCCGAAACGTCGACCAAGCAATTGTTTTATTTAACGAGTTTCAAGTGGGCCATCGAACATGTTTGCAAAAATTCAGAATGTTCATATTAATTTTTGAAGTTGATTTTGCTACTAATATACTGTCAGTTGTTTGGGAATTTGAGGGTTTTTGTTGATTGTTTTGCAATTATAACCAACATCGAAGATATACTAATTACTGGTTCAATTTTCACTTAAAAAACATCAATTTAAAGGGATTCAATGTTCTATGAAGGCTGTGCTGAACAGGGTTCACCCTCCAAGACCAGATTGGTACGAGGAATTTTACGCTACAGCCATGGATACAACAATGAAATCTTACGAGACTGAGGTTCGTATTCAACTAAATTTTGTATCGTAAACCAAAAATCTTATAAGAAATCCCCTTCCCTTTTACTCCTTTTGTGTAAACGACATATTATTTGACAAGATTGCAGGTTATAAGTCGCAACTTTTTGCAAATCTAATAGGAAAGGCTGCAAATATATTGGAAATAGGCATAGGAACGGGTCCTAATCTCAAATACTATGCTAGTGCGACTTCTGATGCCAATGTAATCGGTGTAGATCCGAATAAAAAGATGGAAAAATACGCTCAAGCTGCAGCAGAAGCTTCTGGTTTGCCTCAAAAGAATTTCAAGTTTATTCATGCCGTATGATCTTCACTTTCTTAATGATACACCAAGTTTAACTAGATCGATTTAACATTTATAAAAACTTGTTAACACCCACAAGTTTTCTCAGGTTGCAGAAGCATTACCTGTAAGCGATGCTTCCATGGATGCAGTGGTGGGCACTTTGGTGCTATGTTCTGTTAAAGATGTTAACAAGACCCTTCAGGGTATATGATCCATTGATCATGAGTTGTTTTTCTCTAATCGAAATCTGATTTTAAAGAAAAGTAAAGTGTCATATTTTTTATTTTGTTCAGAGATCAAAAGGGTTCTTAAACCAGGTGGGCTTTACATATTTGTGGAGCATGTAGCTGCCAAAGGTACTCCACTGAATAAAATGTTAGGCCTTAATGTAGTTAGACACCAACATATTGTTGAAATGTAAGGGTAAAATGGTCATTTAGCTTCATTCAGACGGTCTATTCAGATGCTATATTTTTGGTTTCATTTTTTTTGAGCAGATGGTTCGCTTCTGAAAGTTATGCAGAGTTTTTTAGATCCATTGCAACAGGTGGTTGCAGATGGATGTCATCTTACTAGAGAAACAGGACAGACTATTTCTAAAGCTGGCTTCTCAAATGTTGACATGAAAACAGCTTTTCTTTCTTCTGCATCATTAATAAATCCTCATGCATATGGAATTGCTTGCAAGTAATTAAGCAATTTGCACTCATGTATGCACATATGTACAATTTATCTATGTTCTATTGATTAAATTCATTGTGTTTATGCGATGGTGAGTTTGATAATTGATATAAGAAGAAATGAAGATATGATTTTTGCAAAGAAAGAACATGAATAAGAACAAAGTATAATAATTGACTCTAATTGTTACTCAAAGTATAATAGTTGATTCTAATTATTACTCAAATTGTTAGTTATTGGTTTATTTATATTTTTAATGGTTGGAGTGTTCTTGGACAAAATTCGAATGAATTAGTGGAAGTGATGTGGTCCTCGATATCACATACAAATACAGTCATATGGACTAAAAGCTTTTATATATTTGGTAATAACCAATGAATAAGTGGAGGTATATTAATGGTTTATTTTCAAATAAATAGTTATTTTTCTAGAAAAAAAAGGTGAAAATGTGATAATAATTGATCAGAGTGTGATCATGATGAATGAAACAAGCAAATGCATGATAAATTCTCAACTTCTATATCAAACTAGAAGGTGATCCGTGCTTCGCGGCGGTTCAAATATTTTTTTTTCATTGTTACATGTTTTGGTGTTTCTTTGATTTTTGTTTCTTGTTTGTTGTTTCTATTTTGTATGTATAATGTTATGAAAAAAGTAGGGCCGTGTAGTAGATTATCGAAGGTAGCGGGACGAAAAATATCAATTCCACAAACTAATATGGTAAAAACTTGAAGCGTCATATTTGGTAAATGTCATGGACTAAAAGTGGCAAATTCTTGAAACCTTTATGGCTAAAACTGTCAAACTCCAATCTAGGGACTAAAACTGTCAAACCCCAAAATTATTGTGGCTAAAACCTAAAGGATCTAAACTTTGGACTAAAATTCTCGAACATTTAAAACTATTGTAGCCAAAACCTAAAGTCTCTAAAGTTAACTATTCCTAAGAATGTTGTGGATTAATATAGTATATTAATATATAAGTGATTTTTCTTACCGATTTGATTGTATATAAATAAGATATTTTATAGGTATAATGAAATAAAAAGGTAACATATTTTTCGTTTTGTATACATTTAGTCATGAGATTTTTTCCTTGTCTACATTTACTCATTAAACTTGTTTTTTTGTTCATATCTTACCCTTATGACCTATTGGTGTGAGTTTAACCAGTTTTCGGTGTTCATTACAACTCCGGTAAGACTCTTGTAATCCTCTCCGGCGAGTCTTCGGTCAAAATGATTTTTCCGGTGAGTCTCCCTAAAACATAACACCTCCCACAGGTGGTCGACACAACCCATGCCACCAGTGCACCATTTTGTTGTACATCCACCGCCTTTAGCCTCCTGAGTTTCTCACCTCAACCACCCCCTTTTTCATCTACCATCACACTAGCCACTATCATTACCATCAACCCCGATGGCTTCTCCGCTACCAGGTAACTTTCGACGTTTTTTCCATCACCTCCACCAAGCTCACTCATAATAATAACCATTGCCAACTTCACCACCTCGTTTACAATAGCCACCATCACCATTACGATCCACATCCATTATCTCTTTCTCTCTCAACCTAGATTTGGTTCGGAGGTGTTAGGGCTTGCAGATCGGAGCTAGGGTACGAGATGGGTGGTGCTCTTGGGGTCGAGTGACACAATATGGGAAGGTGATGAGGTTGGGAAAGTTCTGAAAATTTGGAGATGAAGAACAATATCGTCGGAAAAATCATGTTGTTCGGAGAAGATGACCGAAACTCACTGGAAAAAACATTGTTGGCCAGAGACCCACCTGAGAATGTGATTGGAGTCTCGTCAGAGTTGTAAACATCGTCGGAGCTGTCGAATATGCTAGAAACATACTATAGTAGGTCATAAGGATGGGTTTTTGAACAATTCAAACAAGTTTGATGGAAAAATGTGGACAAAAAAAAATCAGTAACTAAGGTGTTGTTTGTTTTTTTGAAGTCAAAATGTCTGCAGTCTGCGGATCACATCTGCAAGCCTCTGTGGTAGAAGAGGTGGACCAAATGTCTGCAGTCTGCAATAAGAAGACTGTTTGTTTTTAACGTCTGCAACTATTGAAATAAATTAATTTTTCAAACTTAATTTCATGTCATAACGATTTAAAATGCATTTTCAGCAAAAAGAGAAAGAAAAAAAAAAAAAAAAACGGTGGTCTTTTTTTTTTTGGTTAAAATGAGGTCTGAAGACCTTTGAAGACAGTGACTCATGTCTGCGCCAGGAAGACCTCGCGCAGACGTTTTTTGGTCTGCGCACTTCCAAAAAACAAACACTCTGCGAGGGCATATGTCTACGCGGCGCAGACAAAAGTGGTTGCCCAGCTCTTCACAAAAAAAACAAACAACCCCTAAATGTGTACAAATAAAAAAAAATCAGTGTTGCAGAAATCAACCATAACAGCCGATTAATCGGCGATTAATTGCTTGACGGCCTTAAACCGATCACAATTAGGGTGCTTGACGGAAATTGATCAAAATCGATCAATGTCGGCCTTGGTGGTCTTTGGCGGCCCTTGGCAGTCTGAACGGTCATAGGCAGGAGTTTTTTAAAAAATTCAAAAAAAAATATTTTTAAAATATTACACCAAAAATTTAGATTTTCAAAATTTTAAGCTTTAAAATTTTAAAATATTAAACTAAAATTTTCAAATTTTTAAATTTTTAAAATTTTAAATTTTCAAATACTTAGTTTTTTAGGGAATATTAATTTTTTAAATAACTTTATTAATAATTAAGGATCCCTAATTAATCCCCACCTAATCCGATTAATAGCTTATCGTCAGTCGACCGCCGAACAATTTTACAACCTTGCAAAAAATATATTACCCTTTTAAATCATTATCCTTATTTTATAATAGGATAATTGGCACAAAAATAACAACTTTTTATCGATCAATAATTTTTTTTATGTAACGACAAAAATACATATTTAAATATATTTATTTATAATCGATCAAATTCTCATATTAAGTATAATTTATAATATCATTTACATGTAAATCATAAAGTAAACTTTTATATCAGAGGGGAATATATGGCAATTTATAATATCATTAACTTTTTGTATCTGCATTTTTTTACAGGTTGTCTAAATCTTAAAAAAATTATATTATACGTAAGGATCCTTGAGGCTCTTTTTTATTATTATTATTATTATTATTATTATTATTATTATTATTATTATATTTTTTAAAGAAAACCGGTTTACCCTAAATCACTTGTAGGTGCGTTGTAACATGAAGTTTTCAAGATTTTTAACTATTAGTCGATTTTGTTTTTTCTAGTAGGTTACTATGTCACATGATTGTTATGTTTGCAGCCGAATGAGCTCAATGAATGATGCGGGTTGCCATACCAACTTCTTGCCTCTTCATAGTCAAACCACCACCCTCAGGATATTAATGTTAACGGGTCCCACCCTTTCTCCGTCACCACAACTACAATCTGCAACAACTACCACCACTATCGTTAACAATCAATACCACAACTGTCCTCAACAACCACTGTCATTGACCACCACCAAGAATGTCATCAACCACCACCACCACCACCACTATTATCCTAACCTCAAATCAAAACCAAATTCTACAAAAAAAAATAAAAAAACATTGAAACTAAAATTAAATTCTAACCTTAAATCAAAACCAATACAATATAAAAACCCATCAATGCGATATCAAAACCTTAACACATAATGGAATAAGGGAGAATGTGAGTTCGTCTAGTTTCATCCTCTTTCATCGGGCATCAAAACCTTATACCATCACTGACAACCACCATCATCACTTCCATCTACAAAAATACTTATCAAACCTGATGGATCCATTTGTTTTCATTCTCTTTCACCAAACATAAATCATTGGTTTGAGAGTTAAAAAAGGGAAAATATGGGTTTGCAATCCACATATGGCTTGATAGTGGTGGTGGTGCTAGATCTTTTTGCTAAAAACGAGAGTAGGAACCACAAATGGTTATGATCCACGTTGTAGGTGATTAGGAACCATAAATAGTTCTAATTTTCGTCGGAGAATGAAACAGTCGTCGAGAGGGTGATCATGGGGCAGCAAGAGATTTTCATCGGAGAAGGCAGTAGTGGTTGGAGAAAGATAGTGACAGAGCACGATGTCGGAGAACAATAGTTGTGGCCAATTACAAGATAATGATGACAACTTGAAAAAGAACTAGAATGTATAATTGTTTTCTTGAGTGACGAGAATTTTGTAGGGTTTTGAACTATGTTGATATGACAAACCACGTTAGCCAATAAAACTAAGATGTTGTTTGTTTTTTGTCTGCATATCTTCTTGACCTCTTCTATTTGCACCACACAGACCACGTACAGACATTAATGTTCGCAAATTGTTTGTTTTTTTTAAGACTGCAGACCAAAAAAGGTTTGCATGTCTTCTTCTTGGTGTAATGTGGATCAGAGTATTCATACTTCTTCACGTATCTTTTAACCTAAAAAAAAATACATATAATTTTGTTGTTGTTGTTGTTGTTGTTTTTTTTTTTTTTTTTTTTTTTTTTTTTTTTTTTTTTTAATTTTTTTTTTTAACTTAGATTTATTTCTACTTTATATATGATAAATAAATTGGAAAAAAAGTTACTAAGGTTTGATAACACAACCGTGATCTTTATGAAAAATTTATAAATAAATATTTAATTACAATAATAATTTGTGGAGTTGTTTATAATGATATGCAAAAAAAAAAAAATCATAATATTCTCTTATATTTTTTGTACCAAATTTTAAAATTATTATTTGATGTAACATCGTTCATTTATTGGGAAAAATATTTATGATCAGTTTTTAATTGATTTAATTTAATAAGTAAAATAAAAAGTTTGAAAATTTTCATTTAAAATAAAAGTTTATTTCCATTCATGTTATGCGTTAAATTATTTTATCTCTAATTACAATGTTTAGATATAACTTTACGACCAAAGTTTGTGAGTTTTTATTAAATATATACGATAATTCATACCATTTTATTTTCACTTTTTTATACAATTATACATAAAAGTTAATCTATATTTGTTAATTATCTATAATAAAGTCATAAATTTATCTAAAAAAACTGCTTAAGTTTTTTTTAATCATTCTAATTAGATTTTAGTTTATTCTAATACCCTGCAAATGTTAAAAAACAAACAGTCTTCTTCTTTCAGACTGCAGAAGTTTGGTCCAACTTTTCTACTGAAGAAATTTGCAGAGATATGGTCCGCAGACTGCAAACATTTTGCCTAAAAAATACCAAAATGACATAAATAAGGATAAAGATGTAAACGAGTTATAAACTTAAGTAAGTTTTTTTTTTTTTTTTCCTCAAAATAACATATAAAACCGATAACATTAAACAAAGGTAAAACTAGAAAAAAAAAAAAACCTTAAAAACTTCGCACCAAAGTGACTAATCGTCATTATTTTGAAAAACTTAAAAATTTTAATGTTATTTTTCATATATATAAAAGCTATTATATTTTGATTTTTTATGGTTTAATCAATATATTTTATTTTTGTAAAAAACATCCACTTTTAAAAAGAACTTCATTGTGGCCTATATTTTTGGTTTAGCTGCTTATATATATAAATTTTTTATGTACATACTTTAAAAAACTTATATATATGCTATTTTATAAAGTATATATAATGATACGTAGGTATATAAGAAATGATAAATGTTCTATTGGAGTTTAATAAATAAATAATTTTTATTGACCAAATAAAATATATCGATTAAAAAAAAAAGAAACTATATAACTTTTATTTTATGTATATTTTCTGATATAAAAAAATGAAAATTTAACAATTATATATATGTAACTGTAGTAAGATTACAAGCAGACGATCCAAAAGGTAATTTGAAAGTTGAAGAAAGAAGGAGCGCATGAAGCAAAAATGGGGGGCAAGTAAAACAATGGCGCACTCTCCGTTTTATTAGGGTTTTTCTCCGTCGACAGCGCCACCAAAATTCATCATCTCCATCGCTTCGCTCGAAACCCCGTAATCATAGCAGTAAGTACACCCACGAGCTCTCTCTCACACTTTTTCTTGTCTCTTTGTGTTTATGCTGTTTCCCCTTTCTGCTTACCGATAAAGCTTCTTAGGGTTTTCTACACTGTTTATTTGGCATCCTGAATCATTTTCATTGTTAATAGATGTACACACAGTATCATCCGTTTTCATAACTTCCCTGACCCTTTTCTATGTCCCTTCTAACGAATGTTTACTTTCGATTGAGTCGCAAAACATCATAAAGTCACTAAATTGAAGTTATTAAAAGGGAAACAACCATGCAATACTCATTTTTGCTAAATTTCATGGTCAAAAGTGTCGTCTCCGAATCTCCGAATTGAAATGAATCCGATTTGTTCTAATTAATGTGATATCTGTAATCATTGCGAGGTTTATTTTTCTCATGTAGACGCCATAATCCATATACTAGTTTGTGAATCAGTGCTCTTCAGTTCTTAATCTCAAAAGTCAAATATGATTCTTTGGTTTGACTTTCAGATAATTGACTAATGAAATACGTTCCTTATTCCTTATTCCTTAATCCCTTAAGTTCTTTGTTTGTTTTGACTTGAATTATTATATATTCTTTTTTCATTTGTACAGATGTTTGATGTTTGATATATGAGTTGACATTATTAAAGATTGAAGAAAGCATAAAAAAGAATAATTTAGGCGTGTGACAAAACATAGCTAAAACGGGGTCTCTTTGTTGTGTGGCTGCTAGGCCACATGGGTCAAATGCGGTTAGCCAGGACTGGTCCATGGGCCCACATGAACCCTACTGGCGAACCAACACCAGCTTCTCTCCTCCACCACCAAGATGGGATTTCCGATTCCATTCCGAAGTTGAATCATTCGATTCCCAAGAAGGAAACCGTTTATACGGATCTTCAACATCTTCAAACAGTAGAGAAAGTAGAAACTGGTTGAGAACAAATTACTTACCAAATCATCGGCATTCTAATTCCGATGGAATTGGGGCTTTTTTTGGTACCCCATCTGACTTATCTCCAGCTCAGCAATGGACTCCTCCAGCTATACAAGAAATCAGCCTTCATGAAAGAGTTTTGGTGCCATTATCATTTTCTCCAACTTCTGAGGTATTATTATATTTACATTCTGGTACCCTCAACTTACAACTTGTTGTCAGTCTTTACACCGGACTAAAAAATATTAAACTTTTTTTTAGGTACTATCTGTTCCCCATGAAAACAGAGCTTCCATTTCTTCCAATTCAGACAGTAGTGATTTCGCTGGTCGGGGTTGTTTCATGTCCAAACCGGTCCATCCAGTCAACTCCGGAATTCATGATTCCGATGACAGACACCGTTCCAGTTGTGAGTTTGAGTTTTCAGATGTTTCAGAACCAATTGAATCCGATTCTCTTGACAGATTAAGTGGTGGTTTTGATAAATGTGGCTTCTGTGAGAGGTTTCTTTCACAGAGATCACCGTGGAGTTCCCGCCAGATTATCAGAAGCGGAGATTTTCCGGTGACCGGAGTTCTCTCCTGCCGCCATGTCTACCATGTAGAATGTTTGGACCAAACAACACCAAAAACACACAAAGGGGATCCTCCTTGTCCCATTTGTTCTAAATCTGAATCTAAAAAAGATTCTCCTGAACAACGGGTTTTGTCAAAATTGAAAAACGGGGTCCCATGTAATGCTATGTTGTTGATTAACCAAAATCGGATAAAAAAGGGGGTGTTGATGAAGGGGAGCTCCGGCAAGGAGTTCGCCGGAAAACTTAAGGGTTTTTCACAATGGGGTGGTGGTGGTGGTGGGGATGGGGTTGGATCATCAAAGTCAGCATCAAGTTCAAGAAAGAAGTTATGAAGTGGTAATGGTACTTTGTGTGTATATAAACTACAAAGCATAAAAGGTTGGTGGTTTTGATTTTTAACTTGTAGCAAGAGACCCAAATTGCTCATCTTGGGTTGAAAATTTTCCTTTTTTTGTAAGGTATGTAAAATATGATATCTAATTTGCTGATTTTTGGTAGTCAAGATCGCATAGGTTGTGTTGTATGTGATAGGAGTAAAATTGATTTGATATTGATCATACTTGTATCTACATTTGCTTGTGCTTAATGTGGATACGGAAATATATGTTTTGATTGTGACTTTACTTTTACAAACCGGTCGAACAACCCCAAACTACAAGGGTTACTAAGAAAAGAAAGAAAGAGAATACATATGGTCTTGATTGTTGGGTTATGATGAATGGGAGGGAATATACTACATGTTGAGGAAGATGGAAGTTGTGAAAATAAGGATGTTATGGTAGACATGCGATACAAAGATGTAGAAAATATAAATAAGTTAGGGTGATGGACATGTTAGGCAACAGGAAATTCTATTTGTACCTTCCTAATTGCTTTGTGTACCACCTCAATGTGAGTGTAATAGTGTGTACCCCGTTACAAATTATGTGGGTGAAGCAACTGATGGCTAACTGTTCACATTAAATAATGTTTGTTTGTTTTGTTTGGTTGATTCAGTTCGCGTTAGTGGTTATTAGTTTCGTGTTTGTTTTAAACGATCAATTATGGACCCTTAGTTCCAGTAGGGGTTCAACACCACAAAAGATTAATGGGCAGTCGAGATGTGATCCTAGACATTCAAGAATTGTTGTGATAGAGATAAGTTTGGGTAAGAAGCCGAACAATGCACATTTATTTGCCACAATATGGATAAGAAGAGATAAGTTAATGGGATGATCAAAGTAGAAGTGTCAAGAAGAAATGTTACATATACAAGAATGTCCTATATAAATATGAGCTTGGAACAATTCATGATAGAATATGGAAGTTATATAGTAAAGAATACGTAATTTTTGAAGAAGTTACAAGAAAATATGCTGCATATCTTATCCATTATTTCAAATATAGGGGATAGGGGTTTTTAAATGAACGGAGGCATAGAGGATATTGAACATTTAAACTTTGAGACCACATATAAAGTAGATTTATGCTCCGTTTGATAGTTGCTGATTGGGAAAGGTCTATCTGGATAAGAAATTTCGACTGAGTTAAAAACAATGGTGTTTGATTGTACATCTGACTGAATGTGTTAACTGATGAAAAATGATCATTTTACCTTGTTGCTCTATATAGTGATGGATAAAGTTGCTAAATAATTATAAAAACATACAGATTGTCATAAAAATGTAAATTACACAAAAATCATTTAATCCAAATAAAAATTGTCATACAAAATGTAGATTAAACATAAATAATTTAATATCCAAATAAAAACATAATCAAATTTAAAATAACATAATAATTTAATATAAAATAGGTGAAAATAGTTGATTTGCAATATGATCACACAAAACACGCATATATTGAACTCATCATCGATAACATCTTCTTCTCCAAATAGCACTGTCACTAAATAGCAAAAGACCGGTCTTATGTCTTTCATCTTCTTCTCCCCATTCCATTTTCTTCAATGTATCTATACATGCATCAACATCCCTACCCATTTCACTTTTCTCAATTCTTTCATTTCTTTTCCACCAACAACCTTGCAAGCTTAACAATCTCCTCCTCAACTTCTAGTGCCCTTGCATCTCTTTTTCTTTTCACCAACTCTTTTGTTTCCACAAACTTCCTTATTTTTTGAATGCCCCAAAGATTCTTCACTTGCAACTACGTGTTCTGTTGCGATTTCCATTGGAACATCATTGTCAAAATCATGGGCACTAAACTCTTCTACAAAACGAGGGAGTGTAGAAGATGACCCTCAAATTTGAAAGTCAGTCGAGGTCGACCCTTCAAATAGTTGGGTACAAAAATCAGGGAATAGTGGGGGTTTAGTTTTCAATGACAACATGAACTTGTTCAATTGTTTACAATATTTATAAAATAATAGTATTTGTTATAAAAATAATCATACTAGTATTTGTTATAAAAATATTATCTTCCCTTCTTCCCTCCATTGTTCATCTGTTATATTAAATTTATTTTTTATAGGATCATATATATTGTCGGTTTTGTTTTTAGTTTCACCCAAGCACCATACTTTGATTTGTAGTAGTCAAAGTGGTTCCTCATTTGCTTCTGATCAACCTCTTTACTGTGTTCGTTTATCAATTTTTCACGTATTGTTTTCTATGAACTTGCCTTAACCCCAGAACCCTCACGACCATTAATAGTTAGTTTGTGGATACATGCATCAAGAAATGTTTTATCCTCACACTCGTTCCAAACCATCATCCTAAAACACAAAAATATTTAAACATAAAATAATTTTCTACCAATGAGATCAACATAATCCTAAATAAAAATAGCACAATTAAGGTCAACAGTTTTCTACAAATAAAACCATATACCTAAACAAGATTTCTGATTTCATAGCATTAGAACAAACACGATTTCTAATTTCATACGTTATAAATATTTATTTTATTTATTTTATTTTTTATTTTTTAATGATTTCATAGCTTATACATACACAATTTGAGATTTCATAACATTAGAGCATTAGGAGAAACAAGGTATCTGATTTCATAGATTATACATAAAAAAATCTTGTTTTTATAACTTATACATACACAATTTCAGATTTCATAACATTAGAGCATTAGAAGAAGTAAGATATCTGATTTTACAGATTATACACAAAAAAAAAATCTTGATTTCATAATTTGAGATTTAATAACATTAGAGCATTAAAAGAAACAAGATATCTGATTTCATAGATTATACAAAAAAAATTCTGATTTCATAACTTATACATACATAATTTGAGATTTCATAACTTTAGAGTATTAGAAGAAACAAGATATCTGATTTCATAGATTATACACACTTTTTCTTTTCTTTCTGATTTCATAACTTATACATACATAATTTTAAATTTCATAACATTAGGGCAAAAAGGATTCAAATTCAGAGCTTATACACAAACATTTTTTGACTTCCTAAACATTTTCAGAGCTTTTCGTATTTCATAGATTATTCTTACCTGTCTTGACGATTCTGGCTGGAGAAGACGGACAGAGCTCAGACAGAAGGAGGGCAGATGTCTGACTGGAGGAATACAATGACGATTGGGGTGATTGGGACCTGTCGAAGGGGAGCTGTCCAATGGAGGCTGCACGTTTTTCTTTTAGGTTACGAGGAAGGAAGAAGAGATCGGGGGTAGGGATAGTCTTTTTACCCAGTCGACCGAGCCTTGCAAGCCGACCAATTCAACCATTTTAGCCAGACATGTTTACTGAATCAACAAGATCAAACAACCTTCGTCTGGCCGAGTCAACTGAAATCACTGACTCAGACCCAGTCAGACGAGTATCAAACACAACCTTAGAAAACCCAATCATAAAAGAGATTCACAAGAGGGAGAAGTCATTGAACCAGATACTCTCCATCAACAAATTGTTTTCTATTGATTGAGAATTGTAATAAAAGTCTTATAGAGAGGCTTTAAGAATAACGATTCCATATAGTGGATGAAAATAATAAACGATGAGATGAGTTCACTTAGCAAGAGCCAAACTTGGTAATTGGTCGAGTTACCAACAAGAAAGAAAACATTACGGGTAAAGTATGAGCATGGTGACAACAAAATATACAAGGTCGTATTGGTGGTTAAGGGTTCCAACCGAAAGAGGAGTTTGTTACAACGAGATATTTTTTCTACTCGCAAAGATGAAAACTATCAAATTGGTTGCGAATATACTAGTTGTAGAAGACTTGCATGTAGAGCATCTAGGTTTAAGATAATTTTTGTCGCATTGAGATGTTAATAATAGCCATATATATGGCATAAGCACAATGTTTTCATATATCTGATAAGCAAAATTTGGTGTGCAACCTAAAGAAAAGCTTATATGGGTTAAATCAAACACTAGGATAATAGTATTTGAAGCTTGATAACTTCATGTAGATGAATATATATACGAGTTGTGAGATTGTGAAAGATCTTTATGCTCAAAAATCAATATAGAATAAAGTAACATACAACCTTTTATGCTCACACCTTATAGCAAGTAGACACTTATTGATTATTTATTATAATTTGAGTATTAATAAATACTATCAACTCTTGTATTTAATTGAGAAGTTATTATTTTATGAAAATAATATTTTTCAAGAGAGAAAACACCTAATAACTCACAAGGTATGATTTATATGTTGTGTGTATTATTTTGGGCTAGTTATAGTTCATTTATATAATGTTACAAAATACAAGAACATGTTATAAAATAAGATGGAGTAAAAAACAAAAATCTATTTCTTTTTCATTCTCCATGCCGTGAGTTAGTGGAGAGGGTAAGAGGTTGCTTTTGAAGCAAAGCCTTACATCCCCATGCTTCTTTCAAGAGTTATGCTTTGAATTTAATGGAAGTATGGTCTTAAGTATATGAATGGCTAGTTGTTTTGGCTAATCTTTTCTTCTCTTTCTCTCATCAAAAGCCGATTGCATTAGGTACTCTTCCCTTCTTCTCTCTTGTAAAGTATAGTGTAGATTTTAAGTGTTTATGAGTGCTTCTCCTTAAGACTAATTTGGTATTACTCTTTAATGACTTAGTAAGTACTTAATACAAGAGAAGATATGTTTGTGATTGGACTACCCATTAACATGGTCAATATATATTTAATTTGATATAAGAATTTGGAAGTAGTTAGATAGATGCTTGGCATCAGTATAGTCAAAGATATAACTAAAGGAATTCTAGAAATTTGCTAAGAAAGTTATGTATAGAAATTGATGGAGAAGTTTGGGATGATAGATCTAGAAGTAAACATTTCTGCAGTCTAGTAAAAGCAGTGGCGGACCGTCTTAGGGGCTGGGGGAGGCCATGGCCTCCCCGATTTTAGGCCTTCTAATGTCTTATATACATAATCAGATATTATAGTTGAAAAAAAAGTATACTGGAATGACATCTTTGCCCCCCCTCCCCCCCCCCCCCGTTTTCTAGATCAAGTGAATACACATGAAGGAATAAACGGTATCAAAATTATCGGAAGATCACAAACAAATCAAAGCTAACCTTATTTATTTAGGATTCTATAAAATGAGAAAACATAGTATCTATAAAAACCCAACGATCTAATCCAAATTATAACAATTTAACCCAAGTTTGGGTTTAAGAAAACTGAAAAGTTTAAACCTACGATCCAAAGTTTATTCCGACCGCCATAATACGATTTCTCAAACTCACCGGAAGAACATCGCCGCCCGTTAGAACCACTGCTGTCTTGTACTCTTTTCCGGTCGCCGGATTGTTAAGTCCGTTCGTATTGTATGCTCTCTCTCCTCTTTGCTAGTCGTCGTCTCGCCGAAGCCTGGCCTGAACTCCGACTCCATCGTCGTCGGAGCCTGCACCTTATTCAGTCTCCGTTGTCTTCGTTCTCACTTTACCAGGTACATGAGTTTCCTTCTTTTTCTTTATACATCTATTAATCATCGATTATA